AGCAGTAGTCATTCCTGCCAAGCCCAAACCATTCATAGTTGTGATAGTTGCTGTGACAAAACTTGGGCGGCTGAATGGGATCACCATTACAATTTCTCTTCTTTGGATGGCTATTACACAGTGGCACTTTGCAGATGTTGCACATACTATACGTATTTGCACCACACATGTAGCACATATTTCTATTCCGTGACTTGGTAGGCCCAACTGCCTTCAGATGATTTGCATACTGAGTCTGAGTGAAGCAAAACCGTCCCTTTGTCTTGTACTCACCAATGGTCTGTAAATTGTGATATGAAAGCAACTTTCCATTACGAAGGAAAGACTTGAATGCTTTTCTTCTAGTTGCCATACCGATTCTTACCCTTTGTGTTGCTTTTGTACACTGCCTCAATCTAGTATCACAGTTATATGCTGCAACGGATACGTACGTACTGTATCAGAAGGATACAAACGTACTGTATCTAAAGTATACGTACGTACCATATCTGAAGTGTACGTACGATAATAAGCTTCGAAGAAAGGAATGAAGGAGCATACCATTCCTACGTACCTATCGTAAGGTACGCTTCCTATGTATGTATCATAGGATCCATCATACGATCCATTGGTTGAGGACTGTGAGAGGTCTAAGATGCTATTTGAGAATACCTCACGAAGAATAGAGATGTCACGAGTCCGGAATAGAGAACCTCCRTGTAGAWTCCCTACCAGGTCTACATGAGGTTCTAATCGGAACTTCGGAATTCTCGTGAACGCGCTTGGTAATCTTTGAATAATTCTAATCTTATAACTCAAATTTTATACACACTTAAAACACCTACTAAGAGTACACGTAATCTYGTGCACAGTAATTACTAAGTGATTTTCGTGTATCAAAATTAATCAACCCTTAAGAAAAATATCCAATACCACATCGACCATGGTGAAATCTTCCACACGATCATGTCTCACCCTTAATGATAGGTTCAAAGAGAGTGACATAGAGAAGATCAACCTCTTTGTGGACCACCCGGCAAGGACAGAGACCACTGGCAGAGGATCCAATCAAAGAACAATCAAAATTCCTGCTATGAAGCTGAAAAGAACCTGTCCAGTCTTCTCCGGAAAATATGGAGTGCAGGAACTATTCTATGTACAAGAAGGATTTGAAGATGCAATACATGAATTGAAATTATCAGACGGGCAGATAGATGAGAAATGGATAATGGTTTTGGCCCATCGACCAAGACAGAATTGGAGTAACATGTGGAAAGGCCCAGACTGATTGAGAATTGGAAGAGACACCAAAGAACAGTGGAAACAAGCCCTTGCCGCGTTTAGAGAATTTTATGCACCATCAAAGAGAGCAAGAGATGAGGTGATTACATACTTGGAGTCGGATGCCATAAAGAAGCCCCACGATGTCACNACCATGGTGAAATCTTCCACACGATCATGTCTCACCCTTAATGATAGGTTCAAAGAGAGTGACATAGAGAAGATCAACCTCTTTGTGGACCACCCGGCAAGGACAGAGACCACTGGCAGAGGATCCAATCAAAGAACAATCAAAATTCCTGCTATGAAGCTGAAAAGAACCTGTCCAGTCTTCTCCGGAAAATATGGAGTGCAGGAACTATTCTATGTACAAGAAGGATTTGAAGATGCAATACATGAATTGAAATTATCAGACGGGCAGATAGATGAGAAATGGATAATGGTTTTGGCCCATCGACCAAGACAGAATTGGAGTAACATGTGGAAAGGCCCAGACTGATTGAGAATTGGAAGAGACACCAAAGAACAGTGGAAACAAGCCCTTGCCGCGTTTAGAGAATTTTATGCACCATCAAAGAGAGCAAGAGATGAGGTGATTACATACTTGGAGTCGGATGCCATAAAGAAGCCCCACGATGTCACMTGTCAAGAACAYGCAGAGAAGGTTGTTGTTTGTTGTAACAGAGCCAACGTTCTACATGGTATCAAGGGTCCCTTGTCTGAAAGAGAAATCAGGGAGATCCTTTTCAACTCCTTCCCCAAAACTTGGCAAGAAAAATATATTAGCTGTGGAAGGGATGTCATTGAAGATACACAAACACAGATAGTCAAATTCATGACAGAGCAGAAGGGACTTGCTGACGACAATGATGAAAGGAAACAATCGAGGAAGAGATCAGCAGATGCCACCAACAGCACAAGACAAGGAGGAAAGAATGGGAAACAGAGGAAGTGCAACAGCAATAACAACAACAACAACAACAACAACAATAATAATAGGAATAACAGAAAGAATGAGACCCCGGAAGAAAGACAAATTAGGATCAATGCAACACCTTGCAAGAAACACAAGGGACAACATCTTTGGGGCGAGTGTTGACTCAATAAGAATGGTTACAATAACAATAATAACAATCACGGAGGAAATCAGAGAAATCAGGGAAGAAGCTCAAATGCAAGCAACAGTGGTGCAAACAGCAAGAGGTTCACACCGGGATTATACCTATGCTCAATGGATGAACATGGGAACATGAGCAACTTCCAACCACATTCAGTTCAAACTCAGAATTACCATGGCTCTAATTCCAGTGGCCCTCCAAGCCATGTATCATTACAGTCCAACAGTAATCTGGGCTCTACGGCCCAATTCCAAGGACAAGGACCAAACCAACAGTGGTGTAGAGCAGGATCATACTTAATCATTTGCAAAGCMAGTCTTTGACGGAATTCGCGATAGCTCATGACATTGCTCAGCTTCCACTCATTGCCCAGGCTTCCGTCAGTACACTCCTTGTAGATATC